AGAGAGAGAGAGAGAGAGAGAGAGAGAGAAAAATAAGTAAGTTTTATCATAACATACATCATGCTGCGAGCTATGTTTTCTTCATCGTGTTTATTTCTTTTCTAAAAGGATAGAAAAAAATATTTATAATCAAGAATATACAAATATGAAAGATACAAAATGATAATAAGATAATGATAGGAAAAATTAAAGATAAAATTATTAAATCCTGCTTGCCAAGTAATCTATTATATATTTGATTATTTTTTTCTATAATCTGTATATTTTATTATCTACATGTAAATATAAATTATAGAATCTTTATATAAATGTTATCGTATAATCTTTGTTATGAATTGACAAATTTTGATCTTATATAAAGCTAAGAGTAGATAAAGATTAAAATTTTTCAACTATTATACATTTTCAATGGAAAAGATTTTGAAAATTTTTACTTTAAAAAGATTAAAAAAATTTTTTAAAGTAAAAAAATTAGTGTATTAGAAAAATTTAAGTCAGCTTTTAAAATTAAAAAAGATTAGTGTATTAGAAAAAGAATGTAATTAACCGATAAAACAGATTTAAGAATTATTTAATAGATAGATCTGTTTTTTAGCTCACTTCTTGCATTGTTCATCTTTTCTCTGTTTTTCTTTACATTAGAAAGAAAAATAAGAAAGATGAACGATGCAAGAAATAAAAAAAAACAAACTTATTATCTTGTTAATGACCATTCTGATATGCTTAGTGTCTCTTGCTAATTAATTTCAGAAAGAACCGCTATACGCGCTCATAATAACATTTCTCGATAATGATCGTGATTGATACAAGTATATATAAATACAGAATCTAAATCAAAAATAAAAGTAGTTTCAGAGTTTCTGTCACATCACATGGCTATTGCTATATCCGCGAGGCCAGAAATGATCATTTATGTAGCTTTTAAAAAGAAAACTACTATGGATGAGGATCTACTGACAAAAACACTCAAACTACGTGATATATTTTGCAAAATTTTACGACTTTATTAGTTATTCGTAATAAAATCCCAAAAGGTATATGAATAAATTTTTTGATCTTTATTTTTTAAAAATCTATTATCAAGTAAATATTTTCTCAAGTATTTCTTTTCTTTTCTCCACATTACACAGAAAGATCATAACTCTTCATTATATTAAAATTAAATCAACAGCACTTTCATATATCGTTAAAATTCTTTAATTTTTGCCTAAAATATTTTTTTAAATAACTATTTTTTCCGAAATAATTCAATATGTCAAATAAATGGAACATTTTGCTTATCTCTCTTCTCCGAAAAATAGAGAGCAATATCCAAACGATTCACTTCATTCATTCACTTCATTCATTTTTTCTGCCTAAAATCAAATCAAACAGATGATAAACTGCGAGAATACAAATATAAATTTAAAATAGTAGCTTACGTAATATTTTTTTAATATTTCAATCCAAAATAATGTATCTCGAAAATCAGAAGCCACGGCTAAGACATTATCTCTTTTATATATTTATAAATATATTCATAAATTTTATTATAATATTTACGCCACATAAAAGAATTATTCTTCATTGTTTTTATTCTTTTTCAAAAATATAGAAAAATTAATCTTATGCG